CCCGGGACTATCTGTTCCTCGAGGGCTGGGAGGAGCCTGTCTGTCCACTGCTGTACCCGGCCCCGCCCCCCCGACTAGAAGCCTGGAGCCCACTGGAGGGCGCTCTTCAGAAATGTGCTGGATGTTGGTTGAAGGAAGTGGCGGTCCGGTTTAGGGACCCCTGAAAGATAGGGATGGGGCGATCGATTGAAGCTACGGGGGGAGCGGTTCTAATCGTGTAAGAATAAAGTTTTGAACCATGCTTCCAACGGGATCTCTCATTCTTCCCCAGGCTCCCCCCTTTCCAAGCACAATACTCCTTCCAATCACCTCTGGTTATTTCCCAAAACCCCGACCTCTCAATGCCTCAGTGACACCCAATTCCCCCCCCATTCCCTTCAAAACAATTAGGGATTAGAGGCTAGTAATAGCTTCCAGGGTGTCTTTAAGCTATGGGCTCCTCCGGGATGACAGCAGGAAGAGGAGATCCCGGCCTTTAGTGCCGGAAACCCCGGAGCTCCGAATCTGGAACCGGATGTGGCGGCTTCCTGCCCCGCCCCCTAGCCTGTAGGCGGGATCTGAGGGCTTCTTGAAAAACCCGGAGTGGATTTCAGTTCGATACTCGCGTGGGTGGGGGCAGGGAGCGTAACACCGCGGGGGCGGAGTAACGGGGTCCCTCCCCTCCTAAAAAGCTTCTCGCGGGAATTTTAGCATTGTTGTTGGAGGTGGGAAATGCCAAATTCTTCTCCCGCCCTTTCCCGGGGGTTATAGCCTGCACTGCTTATCCCAATTTAGAGCGAGTCGACGTGGGCTCCAGAATCCAGGAGTGGGAGGCCGGAGGGCAGCGGAGCTGGGGACCCGCGCTCCTGGGTCCCGGCCCCCGGCGTCCGGCGCTCCGCTAGTCCGCGGCCCTGGCTCCTGTTCTCACTTCCTTCCCCTTTTGGCTCCTGCTCTCGGAGCGGGCGGACGCGGGGGGGAGCGGAAAGGGCGGTAGGGCCTGGGAGCCTGGCGGGGGGGCTCAAGGGGGTGCGGAAAAGCCGGGGAGGGGATTCGGTCTGGGGCCGGAGACCGAAGGCTACGGCGGAGCCGGACCCGCGCTGCCCCTCCCCTCCCGAACAGGTCAGAGCCAGAGCACCCTTTGACCCTGCCCGATCCCGTTTTCGTGACCCCTTATTCCCCAAATGCATCAGGGTCCCCATATTCCACCCTTGTGTTGCCCTTCCTCCAGGACACCCGTCCGGTTACCTAGACACCCCCGCGCTCCCCCAGTGTCGGGTTCCCCCGCACCTCCCTGATTCTCCACGTTCTTTCCCCAACCCCGGTCTCTCTCCAGGCGCCCCATGGCCCGACCCCGCTGATTCCTTAACTCTGCCATGCTCCCGCGACCCCTGCGGCTGCTCTTGGACGCGAGCCCCCCCGGGGGAGTCGTGCTTAGCAGCTTCCGGAGCCGGGACCCAGAAAAGGATGGCAGTCTGGGAGCCCGGGGCTTGGGTGGGGAGCAGGAGGCTGAGGAGGAGGAGGAGGAAGAAGAAGAGGTGAGAAGTGGTTGATGGGAGTTAGGGGCCATATACACCTTCGAGACCCTCTCCACTTTTTTCGCCGCGTCTTTGTGTCCCTGCCTTAGTTTACTTCTCCGCCTCTTGATGGGTGATAGCCAGCCTCCTTGCTACGGGGAGTCCCAGAGACTCTGGTTTTCTGTGTCAGTGTGACTCAGGTCCTGCCCACAGGAACCTGCCCTGTTCCTGCCCGGAGCATTATTAGTCAGCCAGTATTTCTGTGGGTCTCTGGCCCTCTTAGCTGAGGCCTAAGTGTGTCTGCCTTTCTGGTATCTTGTTTTCTCCCTCCTTGTTTTTGTTTGGAAGGGAGGGGTTTGTTTCCACAGTAACCAGCTCCTCTGACTCTGGGATTGGGGAGGGAACCCTCAGATATCGTGACCCCTCCTCCTCCCCCTCCCTACTGAGTATGGTGTAGGGTGGAGGCACGGAAGTGAGCTTCTGGGACCCGGAGGGACACATACCAGACTGGGTAGAGGGTGGTCACCTGTTTTCTTCAAGAACTCATAGTGAGGAACAAGACCAGGGTTTGGGGCCTCAGAAGGACCAGGTGTTGGATTTGGGGCCCAAGGTCCTAGATCCCTGGGACCACAGGCCTGGTGAGGTCAGGGTGACTGGCTGGGCTGGTTTTTCGGGATCAGGCAGAGGAGGGGCTGGGGCCATGTGACTCTCTGAGCCTACCCCCCACATCATCCCCACTTCCCCTTCTCCTTCCTGAACTGGCATCGGAGCCGCCACCTTGGGGGGAGTTGTCTCTGGGGCCAAGAAACAGTGGAGTCCCCACCTGAGGGACTGGGAGCAAGGGAGGCTAAGGGAAGGGCTAATTCTTTGGGTTGTGCCCCTCCCTGGATTAGAGGGAGGGCGGGGCATGTGGCTGTGCCTGTAACTGAGGTTTGAGCTTTTCTAGGTCTCTGCTTCTGGTTTTCTACCTCTTTCGCTTTTCTACCTCTTTCGCTTTTCTTTCCTGGCCTTTGCTCCCTGCTTTTCCACTGTTGAACTCTGGGGGGAAGCAGATCAGGGGGTCTCCAGGATCAGAGTTCTTACAGTTTGTACACCACCCCACTGCAGCCCCCTCGACTCCACCGGGCCCTTAGGCGGCTTGGGGGGGGCTGTCTGGGCCCCAGTGGGGGAGACCTGGGGTCACCAGCCCCCCCCACCCCTCGAACACGCTGGTACTATCCCCCGCCCTCACAGGTGAGGGTACTGGAGAGGAGAGGGGAGGGGATGAGTGAGGACGGGAAGCTGTGGGGAGTGGTTTGGGTTGTCTGATCACATCTTCCTTGCTCCTCCAGGCCCCTGTGTCTGTCTGGGATGAGGAGGAAGATGGAGCCACCTTTACTGTCACAAGCCGCCAATACCGGCCTCTTGAGCCTTTGGTGAGAGCATGACTTTTGAGTTTTCACCTCTGAGCCATCATTACCTCCTAACTTCTCTTCCTCTGGCTAGAGTGCTAGGCTGGGCATCTGGAGACTAAGCTAAGTCTTCTGCCCTTGCTAAATTTGAGCAAAATGGTTCTGGATCATCTAGGTCTAATGTCTGGGACGAGGGAAAGCTCAGTGACTGGCCTTTTGTCTGTCCCAGGCCCCCACGCCTCCCCCACGCTCCTCTCGACGGCTCCGAGCTGGCACTCTGGAGGCCCTGGTCAGATACCTACTGGATGCTCGGACATCAGGGACTGATGTGACCTTCACCTCAACCTTTCTTGCCACCCACCGGGCCTTTACTTCCACGCCTACTCTGCTGGGGCTTATAGCTGACAGGTCAGGAATCATAAGGGACCAGGGATTATGGAGAGGACTCGACTTCTAAAGCCAGACCATTTGACCCTTCCAAAATGGTCAAAGCCACAAGGAGTTTGGAAAAATGGACAAGGATTCTCTTCTTTTCCCCAGGCTGGAAGCCCTTGAATCTCATCCTACTGATGAACTAGAGAGGACAACAGGGTGAGCCCTGATTCTTAACCTCTGAATCCCCTCTGCCCAAGCTACAGCTTGACCTCTGACCCCTGGCTGATTCCCCTTCTCCCAGGGTAGCCATCTCTGTACTTTCAACCTGGCTGGCCTCTCACCCTAAGGATTTTGGCTCTGAGGTCAAGGGTCAGCTTGACCGGCTTGAGAGCTTCTTGCTTCGGACAGGGTATGCAGCAGGGGAGGGTGTTGGGGGGGGCAGCGCTGAACTCATCCGCAACCTCCGGTCCCGGGTGGACCCCCAGGCCCCCGACCTTCCTAAGCCCCTGGCCCCCCCCGGCGACCCCCCTGCTGACCCCACGGATGTCCTGGTGTTCCTCGCTGACCACTTGGCCGAACAGCTGACCCTGCTAGATGCGGTGAGACCCTGATCTCTGACTCCCATGCTCTCTGACCCCTTACTAACCTCTCCTTGAGTCCCTATCCCTCCCTTGCCTCCAGCCCTTCCTGATCCAGCTCCTAGCCTCCTCCTTTATTTGCCCAGTTTTGACCTTTTCCCTTCTCCCCTTGGTCATTGCCCTTCAGACCCTATGCCCTCTGGTTCCTTGGCCATCTGAGATCCTCAGACCCCTGCTGTTAGGAGGCTGACCTTGCTTGACTCTGAACTTTAACCTCTAACCTCTGTCCTGTAGGAGCTGTTTCTCAAACTGGTCCCCTCTCAGTGCCTGGGGGGCCTGTGGGGTCACAGAGACCGGCCAGGACATTCCCACCTCTGCCCATCTGTCCGAGCCACTGTCACACAGTTCAACAAGGTGGCAGGAGCAGTGGTCAGCTCTGTCCTGGGGGCCACCTCAGCTGGAGAGGGCCCTGAGGAGGTGACCATACGGCCACTCCGCCCACCACAGAGGGCTCGGCTCCTGGAGAAGTGGATCCGTGTGGCAGAGGTCAGAAAGAGGACTGGCCCTCTTGGGAACCATGATGTGGAGAGGAGTCCCACAGTCAATGCCTTTCCCCATGACCTGTGAACCACTACCCTGCAGGAGTGCCGTCTGCTCCGAAACTTCTCTTCGGTGTATGCTGTTGTGTCTGCCTTGCAGTCCAGCCCCATCCACAGGCTTCGGGCAGCCTGGGGGGAAGCAGCCAGGTGGGTAGGAGAGGGCCCTGGACTAGGGATTAGAGGCTCTCCTAGAAGGCTAGGAAGAGGGCGTGGCTCAGTCAGGCCTGTCCTCATGGTTACTGCCCTTCATCCCCCAGGGATAGCCTCAGAGTCTTCACTAGCCTTTGCCAGATTTTTTCTGAAGAGGATAATTACTCCCAAAGCCGGGAACTACTCCTGCAGGTAAAGCCCTGTTCTCTGGTGTTCCCAAGCCATTCCTACTGCCCACTTCTCCCCTACGCCTTCCATCACCCTTTCATATTTCCTGTTTTGTCACCACCAGGAGGTGAAACTGCAGCCGCCTCTGGAGCCAAACTCCAAGAAGTCCCCGAGGTCTGGCTCCCGGGGTGGGGTGAGTGATTAGTGGTGGGTGGTTGCCAAGAAGTGAGAAATGTGGGATAGGGAGCAGCTTGAGGGACGGAAGGAAGAGGCACAGCAAGAATTTGGTTTGTTCTTTCAGGCAGTAGGGTAGGGAAATGGGGAGAGTAGGCCCTCAGATCATGGCAGGGGTGTCTGACCCTAACTCCTGACCTCAGGGTGTGGTTCCTTACCTTGGCACCTTCTTGAAGGACCTGGTGATGCTTGATGCAGCCTCCAAGGATGAGCTAGAGGTTAGTATGTGTGTGTGTTTTGGTGATGTAACAAGTGGGCCTCTGAGTCAGACAGCTTTCCTTTCAGAAAGGGACTATAAACCATGACAGCTGAGGACTCTGGAGCCAGATTGCTGGGGTTCTGGCTCTGTACTTTGGCAAGTTGTTTAACCTTTATGTGTGTTAGTACTTTATAAAAAACCAAGCCAAACCAGTTGTCATTGAGTTGATTCCAAATCATAGGCACCACATGTATGCAGAGTAGAACAGCATTCCAAAGGATTTTCAGTGCTGTGATCTTTTGAAAGCAGATTACCAGGCCTTTCTTCCAAGGCACTTCTGGATGGGTTTGAACTGCCAACCTTTCCAGTTAGTAGTTGAGTGCTTAACCATTTGTGCCATCCAGAGACTCCCTTACTGCCTTGTTCTTGTGTCAGTTCCAACTTTTAGTGACCCTACAGGAACAGAGTAGTACTGCCCTATAGGGTTTCTAGGTGGTAATATTACAGGAGCAGATTGCCAGGTCTATTCTGCTGTGGAGTGGCTGGTGGGTTTGAACCACCAGTGTTTGGGTTAACAACCGAGTGCTTAACCACTGCACCATCAGGGCTCCTTCTTAGTAACTTGTTGTTGTTGTGTGCCGTTGAGTCGTCCCCGACTCATAGCGACCCCTCCTTGGGTTTCCGAGGCAGTATC